CACAAACCCAACCACTGCGCCACCGGGCCAGCCCCCTTACAACAGATTTTTAGTTGGTCCTGTTTGAATTTCTTCACTAGCTGTTTTCTACAGTGGTAAAGACAGGTTGGCTGAATAAAAAATACGTTTCTCTTATTTCTCTGGGGAAATTAAGGACTGTGGGCCTTAGAGCTTCTGGAGGAAAAGTTTAGCTCGTTTTTGCTTTTGTTTTTAAACTCTGCCTGCCTGGCCGCCTGAGCTGGGACATTGGTCATTTCTGGCTTTCAGACTCAGACTGGACTATTGGCTCTTCTTGGGCCTCTCGCCCTGCTGGCTCTTGTCTTCAGCTTTGTTGAGGTATAATTAACAAGTAAAATTGTAAGGTGTTTAGAGTGTATGTGATGACTTGATATATGTATACATTGTGAAAGGATGCCCCCCCCCCCCCCCCCCCCCCCGTCTAGTCAATCAACACATCCATCAACTCAACTCACATATTTATCTTTTTTTTTTTTTGGTGAGAACATTTAAGTTCTACTCTGTTTGCAAATTTCCCTTATACAATACAGTGTTATCAACTATAGTCACCATGTTATACATTAGTCCCCAGACCTCATTTATCTTATCGCTGAAAGTTTGTACCCTTTACCAACCTCTCCCTATTTGCCCCGCCCTCCAGACCCTGGGACCTCCTTTTTTCACTGTTTCTATGACTTCAGTTGAGCGTGTATGTGACCCTTGTGCTTGAAACACCACCAGGCTGTTTTATGAGCATAAGCAGTCTGCCCTATTTTGTTAAAATGAGCAAGTTTCACTCTCTGATTACTTAGGAATTTATAATACTTTTCAAAATGATTACTTATAAGAGAGAAAAAATTTTAATTTTGGCAGGGAAATTGGCCTGACTGTGAGATTATGCGTAAGCACTTTCATATCTTAGGTTTCTAGGAGCAAGGTTGCTTTCTTTGAAGCCATGTTCCCTTGGCTTTCTTGGGAATCTGGGGTCTTTTTATAAAATAAGAGCACTGCTCCCAATTATTTATTGCTGGTTGTGGATATGAAACTTTTATGCTTATTGAAATAGTATTTGGGGACCAGTCCCATGGCTGACTGGTTAAAGTCCACGCGTTCTGCTTCAGCAGCCTGGGTTTGAGGGTTCGGATCCCGGGCACAGACCTACTCCACTCAGTAGCCACGCTGTGGCAGTGTCCCACATACAAATAAATAGAGGAGGATTGGCACAGATGTTAGCTCAAGGCTAATCTTCCTTAAGCAGAAAAAAAAAGAGGATTGGCAACAGATGTTAGCTCAGGGTGAATCTTCCTTAGCAAAAAAAAAAAAAGATTAAATAAATAAACTAGTATTTGATGCTGTGTAGTCTTTGTCCTTAATGTTGGAATTTCCATAGGTCAGGGGATTCCTTCCAGCTTACACTGGCCATATTTAAATCTCACTTAAATACAGACAATGTCCAAAGTTATTGTTCCTGCCAAAATTTTCCCTTTGAGCTCTAGTCTGCCTATTTGGTATCTTTTCTTGTATATCTCACAGGCACCTCCAACTCTGTATGTCCAAAATAGAATGTATATTTCTCCTCCCTTCCCAACACCCTCCATCCAAGCTTATTCCTCTCTCATTCTTCCCTTCCACCCTTACCCAAACCGGACATCTGTGAGGCCCCTCCTATTCACTCCCCCGACATGTTTAATCCAAAGGCAAGTCTTGTCATTTCTAAATCTACAACTACTGGAAATGACCCACTTCTTTCCAGCTCCACTGCCTCCGTCCCGGCAACCTACCATAATTTCTAGTTTGGACTTCTGCAGTAGCCACCTAACTGGTTTGCTTGGGTATTTCTTCCCTTACCAGTCCTTTTCCACGTCAGCAAGTGAGATCATGGCACTTATTTTTGCAGGGAGAGTAAAACCAAACTTACCATGATTTACAAAGCCCTGTGTGATCTGGCACCCACCCACTTCCCATTCATCTGATGTCATTCTTCCTTTTGTTCATAATAGTACTGTCCCACCCATTTCCCATTCATCTGATATCATTCTTCCTTTTGTTCATAATATTACTGTTAAACCAGTTCTCAGTTCTTTGAACACCCCATATGGTCTTACTTGGGACCTTGGCACATGCTGTTCCCTCTCCTTGGAATGCTTTTCCCTCAACTCCTCACATGGATGACTCCTTATCCTTCAGGCTTTGGCTTAAACATCACCTCCCCAATCTTTCTCTGACCCCCTTGTCTAAAATAGGTTCCTTGTTATTTGTGTTGCTTTCTTCATAACATTTGTCTTATGTATAATAGCATCTTTTCTCCTTCTGTCTCATCCACTAGGATGAGACATGAGGGCGGGAAGCACGTCTGATTCATTTACGGTTGTTTCTCTAGAACCTTGCACACAGTAAGCACTTAAGTGAGTGACTCTTCATTTAATCCTCACCTCTAGAGTTAATGCCCCACTTTACAGATGAGCAAACTAAGGCTTAGAGAAGTTGGAAATTTACTCCAGATCACAGAATCAAAAACGCAGACCCAGGTTTGCCTGATTTCAAAGTCTGCCATTACACCTCCGGGCCTTCTTATCATCTGTTAAACTTGTGCTGAAACACCAGACTAAGTAGGAAAAGCGGCACAGATTGTTCAATTTTGGAGTGACGTGGAGAAGTTTCAGGACTGGTCATTCGAGATCACTTGTCTTCTCCTTCCTGATTCTCCGTAGGGTACACTGAAGAGAAACTCCTGAGCCTGAAGTCTGGTTAAAAAACACCTTCAGTAATCTACCTAGTGACCTTTGGTGTCTATTAAACACACCATGGAATGTAGATTTCTTGTGAAATCACTCTGGAACAAGCTAGTATCTCTTTTGACAGGTTTGTCTTTTTTCCAGTTCCATCAAAATTGTTAATCTTAGCACTCAACACCGCTTTGCTTCACAAAGTAAAGTCTGAAATTGAGAAACACTACCGGCTAATGCTAGGCTCTAGAGAATGTGTAGTTACTATACACTCCCAACGTTCACTGGGGCTGCGAATTATCCTCCCATTTCATCAATTTCCCCAGACTGATGGGGGATTCTAACTCCTCATACTTTTGTGGATGGATAGTAGCTAACAACATCGAATTCTTGTGCTAAGCTATTCTAAATGCAAACATAAATTTTGAATGTCTACCTAGATGTAAATGAGCACATTTCATCCTCACACAGCCAGAGGATTGTCATTACCTTCACCTCACAGAGGAGCAAACGGGACACGGCTGAAATAACTTGTCTCGGTCACACACCTACTAAGTGGTAGAAAGAGGATTCAGATCCAGGCAGTCTGGCTCCATAGCCCTGAGCTAACTGCTGCCAATCCTCCTCTTTTTGCTGAGGACAACTGGCCCTGAGCTAACATCCATGTCCATCTTCCTCTACTTTATATGTGGGATGCCCACCACAGCATGGCGTGCCAAGCGGTGCCATGTCCGCACCCAGCATCCGAACTGGCGAACCCCGGGCCACTGAGAAGCAGAACGTGCAAAGTTAACCGCTGCACCACAGGGCCGGCCCCCTCCATAGCCCATTTCTTAACGGCTGCATTAAACTGCTCTGAAAGCTGACCCTGAATACAACTATTTTACATATCAGCCCATCAGGGGCAGTGAGATGTGATAGGGTCCCAGGCATATAGTGGAGGGGCCTTGGCTTGATAATCAAGTTATCATGGTCGTGGCTTGTGAAGGGGCTGTAGACTGCATGCTCTTAAGGCCTTAATTTTATGGGCAGCTGACTGACCTACAGTCTTGGTAAAGGGCTGAGCCATGAGTAGAATGCAGGTCCTAACGTCAGTATCCTTTACATCTGTGCCATGCAGTATGTTTATCGGTGGAAGCATTATTATAAACTCCTTTGGAAAATAACCAACATGGCAAGCTCTAACAGCAATACAAGAGTAAAGAGCTATCACTAGACCAGAGATTCCCAACTTCATCCTATGTGAGAAAAGTCCTCCAGGTAATTCTGATACTCCCATGCCACAGTATCTGCCGTAAAGCAAGAAGCTGGGTTTTGGGTTTGATTTTTAAAATACCTAAGCAGGGAACAGTCTAGCTTTTGCCAATGCATACTTTATTTCACTTATTTATTAAACAAAGGAGAAGCAGTGGTGGAGGATAAGGAGGGGCTGCCCCAGGAAAAAGGTTTTCATCATGAGGCTTTGACTTAGTGCCACACCTGATTGGACAGACTGCTGACCACACTGGATGTCCAGAACGAGCTGGATCATGCATTGTGTCTATCACAGCTCAGATGCTTTAAGAAACTCAATTAGTTGCTCACAGACTCTGGAGGTCAAGGGATATAGTGAGGGTCAAATTTATCACAATGGCAAGTCTAAGCCCTGTGTAGACTAATTATGGGGCAGCAGAGATTTGGAATGGAAAGGCAGACTGCAGAGGAGAATGTCAGTTCCTAGCTGCACAGTACTCAGTTGTAGTCACCATGAGACCCAGCTATACTTTGTTTCCCACCTGAGGCTGTTTATAAACCTTTTTTTTTTTTTGCTGAGGAAGATTAGCCCTGAGCTAACATCTGTGCTAGTCTTCCTCTACTTTACATGGGGGTTACCACCACAGCATGGCTGATGACTGGTGTAGGTCTGTGCCTGGGATCTGAACCCATGAAGCCAGGTTGCCAAAGTGGAATGCACCAAACTTAACCACTACACTGTGGGGCTGGCCCCTGTTTCTGAATCTCCTAGACTTAGAATGAAGTACCCTCTTTTACTGATATTTTCAATGGGGGAAAACAATTTTCCTAGGCCCCAGTATTTTCTGAAGGGCAGATTAAATTTTCTCTGCAAATATCTTTTTATCTTTAAACTTATGATGTGTAAATTTGAAAATAATCTACCTAAATAGCCACTATGACAAAGATATTAGGATTCATAATATCACATACACACACAAGAAAAACATGGCAGGTGCTTAATATTTGTTGAATCAATGAATAATAACAGTCTTGACAGTAGAATTACAAAGGCTTTTCATTTCATGTTTATTATCAGTGCTTTAATACAGAACATTTTGTAATGATTAGTGATATGTGGATGCCAAGCGTTTTTTCAAACACCAGGTGCCAGTATTTTCTGATAAATATGGATTTTCACCAAACACCACAATTTCAGGAGGTGGTGATTCATCAGCATAATTCACCCAAATTACAAAAATGGCGACACTTAAAATCATGCACTTTATTTCACCATTTCATAAAACTTCTTTTTAAACTTCTACAAACTTTTGCAGTGTAAAAAGACTCCTCAAAAACTTCATGATAACATTGAACTACAAAATTCACTCTGGAAATGTAGAGTTATTTTTCAAATTTTGACTTTAATAATTTTTTTTTATTCTATTAAAAATATAGTGAGGGAGGAGTGTACTGGGAGAGGTGGAGAAAAAGAGCTTCCAGTTGATGGGTTCAACATGTCTGAAAATACTTCAGTAACGTACAGGAAAAAGTTCAAGAGCAATAATATATTATAAATAAGGTCTTTCAGCAAGACGAACGGATGAGCAGTTCTTGCGTCAATTGCACCCACAGGAGAGAGGTCTTCTCTGGAAGAACGCTTGTCTACAGAATCTTCTGTAAGATAGAGTTGGCCACCTCCAATGATTCGTCTTTTACTAGAACAATATCGTAAGAGTCCATATACTTTTCTAAAAGTTCATCCACCTAATAAAAAAAATAATAATTAATTAACATATGCAGAGTTGAGAAGCAAATAATTTCTGTATGAATCTCATTGTTACATTAGATCTTTTGGGCAAAATGTAGCAAATTAAATTCACTTTCATAAAACCTTTGAAATGAAGAAATATTTTCAAACTTTTTTTTTTTTAAGATTAGCCATGAGCTAACATCTGCTGCCAATCCTCCTCTTTTTGCTGAGGAAGACTGGGCCCTGAGCTAATATCCATGCCCATCTTCCTCTACTTTATATGTGGGACACCTGCCACAGCATGGCTTGCCAAGTGGTGCCATGTCCCTACCCTGGATCCGAACCGGCGAACCCTGGGCCGCCGCAGCGGAACGTGCAAACTTAACCAGTGCGCCACTGGGCCAGCCCCTATTTTCAAACTTTTAAGATTAATTGACATAGAAATTTTCCCACATGGTGGCTTTTCTCTCAAAATGATCTCTCTCTAATCCAATGGTTCTCAACTGGGGAGGAGACTGTGTCCAAGGGACATCTGGCAATGTCTGGAGACATCTCTGACTCTTGTGACTGGGGAGTGCTACCAGCTCTGGTGAGGAGAGACCCGAGAGGCCTTACCTTGAATGCACTCCCCCTCCCCCAATACCTCCAGCATGCCTGTGTGCAGACCAACTCCTTTAGCAATCACCAGCGTGAAGGGAGAAAGCAATCACAATGTCTAGAATATCTACTTTCTCAGGCATCTTTGGTAACAACTGCCTATGAAGCTTCATCCTAAATTTTTCTTAAAAGCAAATTAAATGACAGATGTGTAGACTTACTCTATCATTTAGATATCCGATTTTCAGAATGTGTTCAACGTTGGCTACGCCATCTGCCATTCTTAAGTCTCCTTGTGAGTCTCCCAGCAGAATTATGTTGCTATTGTCTTTTAGTTGATTGAAATATTCTGTATTCTTCAAGGCACCATCATGTTTGTTAAATACATGAATTAGTTCTCCTTTAAATCCTTTGAGCAACCCCTATTAAAAACATAAATCCTTTGAAACAATAGGTTTTACAAATTCTGTTTTATTTTCACATTCATGATAGGTAAGAAGGGCTCGAAGAAGTTAATGACTTTCTAGAGACTACTTTAAATGTTAAACACATTGAGTTGAAAATCTAATTTTTACTTTTCATTTGTTTCCTAACCAAAAGGTCCCATTTTATGTATATCATAATATATTGTCTTGATTAGAAGAACTCATTCAAATAAGGTCAGTTCCAATTCACTTCTTTTTTCCACCTATGGATGTTAAGTCTTCAGAGTTGCTGCATTAAATTAAAAGTTTTACGAATTTTCATATTAGTCTATAGCTTGGGAAACAAAAGTTTAGGAAGGGCATAGTATTTTTCAAACATGGATATGGATATCACTGGGAGAGATGCTGAGTCCCACAGTAGGCCTATCAACTTGGCCTAATTTAACGAATATACATTAAATAACAATCAATCAATACGTTTACATGATTAAAATATTTTCAGATTTTAAGAGTAATTATGAAGAATGATTTGATATTCTTACTTTATCATCAAAATCCATGAAGTTGGACACTACTTTGACATTCGGATGATAAACACCAGCTTGACGGATAACCTCCTCTAGAACATCACCGATACCAGCCGAAAATATGAACACAGGGATGCTGTGCTGTTGGAGCTTATCAAAGAAATTCTCATATCCTTCCCTGCAAGATGGAGGGAGGAACTGATCGTCAAAGAGCAAGATGTATCTCCTTTCACCTAGAAGTTACAAAAGCTAACTATCTCTACCTAATTCTATGGCTCATTTACATTCTCATTTCAAAATACTGCCCAAGAAGGCTGTTACTGATGTCTATGATGCTATTAGTACAAGTGTTTCCAACAACAGTTAACTGTTTACTCTCCTTTTCATAAATTCTAATAGTACTAATTTGATGATTTCAGACTTGCACTGAATTTGAATAGAAGCATACAGTTCATAATTTACACCATGTAACAGCAAATACTTAAACCAGACCTTGAAAAACCCACTTAGACTGAGCAGGAAGACCCCCTGCTTGTCCTCCTCTCTTCTACTCCCTATCTTTAGAAAAGCAGGGTGGTGGGAACTGAGCTATGCTCTCTTTGCATCTGGCATCTCTCCTGCCTAAGATCCGGCAGCCAGGTAAGGTTTTGGTCTTAAAATCTTTTCTTCCCTTTTTACGCTTCCTGGGCTATAAGTTAAGCTACCTACAAAGGAAGGAAATATGTACTAGCTATCCTCACACTCTTTCTCATGAGTTAATGCTTTCCTCCTTAGAAGTAGATCATCTTAAAATTTAGCATCATCAAAAACAAGAGAAAAAAGAACAAAATAGCGTCATCATATTTGCCTAGTGAGTTGAAAATTTTAAGAAGTGATAAACAGTATTGAAAATAAGCTTAAAAATGTTTATATCTTATGATTCATGTATTACAAATATTTTTATTATTTGCTAAAATAAAACATATTCACCTTTCCTAGAGACAGTTTTCAAGGGAGTCTGAGAATTCAGAAAGTAGATTCATGTAACTTCAGAAATAGGGTACTGAACTAAAAATCCTTTTCAACTTGATTTGTAAACATTCCTTTCATATTTCATGTCTTTCAAAAGGATTTTGCTAAAAAATTTCAAAATGGTCTTGGTTTCATAAATTTGAAAATTAGTCTTGAAATCTTTAATCTGGAGAAAGGAAATGCAAATTAATACATGAGTCTCACAAGTCTCTTATTCCCTTTGCCAAGATCTAACGTTACTCTAAATCCCCATCTCATCACTATTTCATGATAGATGGCATATTCTGGATATGTTTGTATATGGGATATTGTTATAGATTATTTTAATACACACTTGAATACATATATAACAGTAGTTCAAGTCTATAGATAATTAACAACAAGAAACACCCAAGAAACTTACTTGAGCATAACATCAGATTCGGCCACAATTTCTTTAAGCTTAGCTTTCGGTAAAGCTTGTTCAACAAGCAAACCATGTGATTTAGTATACCTGGAGTTTATGACCAAAGAAAAAGAGAATATCAGTTAAAGTAAACTAAAACAATTATCTTTATTAAAAAGCATTCTTCAGTGTGAGAAAATGCAGTATTTCATTCATCATATTTTGGATTTAAATTTTAGAGATTTAAATTCATCACTAACAAATGTATACGCCATGTGTCTCAAAAAGTGATACAGCTGTTCTTACTGCATTTCCCAGTTCTTGCCAAACTCTGGCTTAGTTTATTTTTTAAAATTTTTTTGTGAGGAAGATTGTCCCTGAGCTAACGTCTGTTGCCATTCTTCCTCTTTTTGCTTGAGGAAGATTGTCCCTGAGCTAACATCTGTGCCAGTCTCCCTCTAGTTTATATGTGGGATGCTGTCACAGCATGGCTTGATGTGTGGTGTGTGGGCCTGTGCCCAGGATCTGAACCCGTGAACCCCGGGGCCGCCGAAGTGGAGTGTGCAACCTTAACCACACCACCACCAGGCTGGCCCCTGGCTTAGTTTAAATGTGTTAATAAGATAATGAAAGGTGTAAACCTTTCCTCAGTCTACAGATAAGAACTGAATCCAACCTAGGGAGGCATAATCATTTCTCTGATTGCAGTAAGAATTAAAGCAAAGCTATTTTTTCCATATGTTTGTAGTCTGAATTTTCATGAAATGCCTAAGTACTTAAGATGTTGCCTAGTGAGCAAGAGAGAAAATCCTTGTTATGGAAAGTTTTATATATAGGTGCTTTATAATTACAGTCATACACTGCAGAATGACATTTTAGTCAACGATGGAGCACGTGTATGATGCTGGTCCCATAAAATTAGTACCATATAGCCTAGGTGTAATGTGGGCTACACTATCTAGGTTTGTGTACGGACACACTACGATGTTTGCACAATGACGAAAGCGCCTAAATGCATTTCACAGAACGTATCCTCATCAATAAGCAACGCCTGACTGTACATAAAAACACCTATGATCACAGCATCTCAGTGTAACAGGCCTTTAGAACCTCTCCATCCGATACCTCAAAATCCTCCTCTAATATTCCTAAGTGGCCCTCTTCTCTGGGTCAGCTCCCATCATATTAGTGAGCTCATTCTCCCAGGGAGGCTTACACCAGTGCTAGAAAATTCTAATTGCTACCCAGTCCTTTCTTTCATCATGCGGAAATCAGTCGTGTTAAGCTTTCCAAGTCTGCTTCCAGTTCTGCTCCTACAGGCATGTAGAGCAAGTCTAACCTCTTCAACAGTTCACACCTTAAACGCTGATTTAGTGTGCAAGGTATTCAGGTTAGGTAATGGAATAATGAAGACAAATAACATCATTCCTGGTCTCTTAAGATTCTAAAACCACAAGTTATTGCTTCTCAAATCAAAGCATTCTCTAGTCCTTGAAATCTTCCTCAAATGGGATGGCTCCAATTCCTGTGATTATCTCGGTGGATTCCTTAGACACACTCTAAGTTCATCAACATTTCTCTTAACAGGATTCTCCCAGGACTCAACACAATGCTTTCAGTGTGGTCTGCTTGGAATGCTGCATTTCGATTAATGCAACAACATCAGAGTTCAGTGTCTCAGTAACTATGACATCCAATGGCTCCAACTGAGTTCAGAGTCAATTTAAATCCCAATTCTTTTTCATTACACATTTAGCCACATTTTGTCTATATACTTAAAAAAATTTTTTTATTTTTTAAAGAAACACATCACCTGTTTGAGGAGTGGGAATTTTTTTTTTAATAGAATACATGCAGCTCTGGTTCATTCATTTTATTTATTTATTTATTTTTTTTGAGGAAGATTGGCCCTGAGCTAACATCTGTTGCCAATCTTCCTCTTTTTTTTTTCTTCCCCAAAGCCCCAGTACATAGTTGTTTATCCCAGTTGCAAGTCATTCCAGGTCTTCCATGTGGAATGCCACCACAGCATGGCTTGATGAGCAATGTGTGGGTCTGTGCCCAGGATCTGAACCGGCAAACTCCGGGCTGCCACAGCAGAGCTTGTGAACTTAACCACTTGGCCACAGGGCCAGCCCCCAAAAACTTTTTTTTTTTTTTTTTGGAGGAAGATTAGCCCTCAGCTAACTACTGCCAGTCCTCCTCTTTTTGCTGAGGAAGCCTGGCTCTGAGCTAACATCCGTGCCCATCTTCTTCTGCCGAGAAGCGGAACGTGCGAACTTAACCGCTGCGCCACCGGGCCGGCCCCACCCAAAAGCTTTTTAACTTAAGGTTTAAGTGCAGAATTTTAAATTTATTCCTACTGATCTTCATCTTAAAAAACAGAACAGGGGCCGACCCAGTGGCACAGCGGTTAAGAGCGCACTTCAGCGGCCTGGGTTCGCCGGTTTGGCAGACAAGGCACTTCTTGGCATGCCATGCTGTGGTAGGCGTCCCACATATAAAGTAGAGGAAGATGGGCATGGACGTTAGCTCGGGGCCAGTCTTCCTCAGCGAAAAGAGGAGGATTGGCAGCACGTTAGCTCAGGGCTAATCTTCTCAAAAACAACAACAACAACAACAACAACAAAACCCCAAAACAGAACAAAACAAATTCTAGACTATTAGAGTAAATAGAGAATTAGAGTTGATTTTGTTATATTTAATCACTGATCTAACTCATTGGATAATTTATGAATCTATTTATACACAGTACAGAAGAAAATAAACCATTAGTTCTAACTGTAATGTTATTATATTTTTAACCCTCCCACCACCCAATACACTTACCATTCTACCATATAAGGGTACTTCTCTTCTACTGTAAGCACAGGATCAACTTCAATAGCATAATATTTTTCCTTTAGTTGCAGTAACTAGAAAGAAACAAATATTCATGAAGATTACAGAGTTGTCATTAAGCTGCATCATTTTATAGAAAGCAAAAGAATGCAAACAAGTGTTTTCCATAAACTGCTTTATATAGTAAAGATTAGATCATGAGCACTTAGCTAATGCATATATCGACTAAAGAGCTCTTTGCTGATCATAATTTACATGTAACTAAATATACCTGCAAAAAACCTACCTTTCTTTTTTTAAGTACTTACATGTCAGCAATTCAGTGAAACCCACTAATAATCAAATTATCACTACAAAAAAACTTTCATTCTCGTATGAAAGTATTAATTTGATTTACATTTGGAGACTTATTTTGTTGAAACAGACACAGACACCTACTCAAGTAGAGGATTGAGGCAATTTCCTGATCAATTACGTAAAACCAAAGTACTTTTGTTTTAATTCTCCAGCTAATGTAAGGAAAGACACCAGAATACTTTGGTAATCAATTAAAAGTTTTTTATGTAAATTTTATTATTGTTGTTAAAAAGTTAATAATTTTTTAATATGTTGAGAGCATATCATCCAGATAATAAACCTAACGTTTATTGAGTGTTTACTATGTGCCAGGTATGGCTATAACCACTTTGGATCCATTCTTTTTTTTTTTTTTCAAAGATTGGCACCTGAGTTAACAACTGTTGCCAATCTTCTTTTTTTTGCTTTCTTCTTTTTCTTCTCAAATCCCCCCAGTACAGAGTTGTATATTTTAGTTGTGGGTCCTTCTAGTTGTGGCATGTGGGACGCCGCCTCAGCATGGCCTGACAAGCGGTGCCATGTCCGCACCCAGGATCCGAACCAGCGAAACCCTGGGCCGCCAAAGCAGAGCACGCCAACCTAACCACTCGGCCACGGGGCTGGCTCCAGGGATCCATTCTTGTTGGTGTGAATGAACCTGAAGAAATTCTCAGGCAAAAAGGGGTAATGAAGTTTTTGAGTAACTCTGGATTACTGTTTGTGTTTACCTTTTTTCGACATTCATCAGTAACCAGCTTACAGTTGTCAATGATATCTAAAGAGAGAAGGCAAACAGGCATTAAAAGTAATACTCTGATTGATGCTACCACTACTTTAACTTAGTATTTTTTTTTAAGTTTAAATGCCAAGTCAACTATCACGGCCATTACAACTTTTGGTCTTAGTGCTGTAATTTGCAAGGCATTGCTAGAGAACCTAATGGTTTTAATATCCAAAGTTTAGCGGTTGTTTGTTTACACCACTGAGCTAGATAATTCAAAGTCTTCACTGTGAATTGTATACTGACTGGTCCCTTTTTCACCTTCCATTTTAATGAAATAGAAGCAAGGAATACATCCTTTAAATATACTTTTTTCTTAATAAAAAGTTAAACAATGTGAAAACCTGGAAAATCCAGATTATTGTAAAGAAAACAAAATTACTCATAATTTTACCATTTAATAATAAATTACTAAAAATATTTTACTGTATTTCCTTTCAGTCTTGAAGTTTTACGCATATCAGTTAGATAAGAGATTAAACCAGAACTGTAATTTTGAACTCTGCTTTCTTGTTCACTTCAAATTGTAGTCTGTGTTTTTTCCATACAGTTAAAAGCTCTCCATGAATATCATTCATAATGGTTCTATATTCTGTTATGTGGGCATGACGCTAGTTATACCATTTCCATTGTGTAAAACTTTTTTGGTTGTTTCCAAGCTTCTGCTATTGTAAATAATTTTATGTTGAACTTAGTTACCGCTATTTTTGTGAATAAAGTTTTTTTCCCCTACATTTGGGATTACCTGATTAGAAATTCTCCAAAGAGGAATTCTTGGGCCAAAGGGTATGATTTTTGTGGTTTTTATGTAAATTATCAAAACAATTTCTCAAATCACACATATACCAGCAGTAAATGAGAAGGCTTATATCATGGCTTCTTTGTCAAGTTGAAGAGTATTATTTTAAAAATTCATTGCTAATTTAGAAAACAAAAAGGTGTATTATCCTAGCAACACATTTTGAGATTTATTTAATAACTTTTCTTTCGCTTATATATAAATGACACAAAAATTTAATAACATTCCTAGAAAATACAGAATATTTGATAAATGCTGTTTCTTTAGGTTAATTGAAAGTTTAAAATCCATTTAAATACTCTTGAAGAATGAACAGACTACATTTAGAGCAAAAAATTTCAGAAGTCTTCATTCCTCCTGCAACCAAAGCCATATATGAAAATAGCCACTTATGTAACATGGGGGGGGGGAAAGTCCTCAAAATATAATAAGAAAAAAGCAGGTCCCATCATTTTCAATGTCCAAAAAGGGAAAAACCTGCAGTCAATCTCATAGATAATATAGGTAGAAAAGGATCTTAAAATAATGATTATGTTGATGAATTTGATTATGAATGCCACACTTACTATGACACGTTGGGCATCTTTTCCCTTCATAGGAAAATCTACTCAGTGTCATATCAAAGTCTGTTATTATCTGTAAGAAAAGAGAAAAGGCATTACAAAAACACAGCCACCAAGGCCAGACGTCCTGCGCTTCCTCGAGGCCTGGGACTGTGCTGGGTCCCCATCTCCCACTGTAGATATTCCCTCCACTGAGCTCTCTGATGCAGCTCCTGTATAAAGCCCTGAGAGTTACCTTATCTACAAGGTGATACCTCAAGTGCCCTAGCACTGGCACCAAATAAAATCTGAGTCATCAGTACAGGAGTTTGAAATCACAGGTGATATGGTTACTGTTCTCGAGAGAGAGAAAACATTGCACAATTTCAATCGATTTGGTCAGTGTACAAAACTGCAGCAGAAGCAATTAAACTATATGAAGCTCTCAGTTACTGATAGTGCTAGCTTCTCGATTTAACTTGTCTACTTAGGGAACTATACCAACGAACAAACGATACATGGCAATAGTTTACCAGCTCTGGAAATTTAGGAGATTGGGTTAAGCGCTTTTTCAGAAATGTTTTAAAAAAGGCGTAATTTTTTTTACTGAATGTCCAGATTGTTGATTTGATGTACATTTAAAAATTTCTTTAAAAAAAGGAGAGAATTTAAAAAAATCAGTTATCCCCTAATAAAGTTACATCTTAATTTGACCTACTGTAATTTATTTAATTAAAATATGAAAGAGCAACTTGAAACTGTACACTTTTTCAAGAATAATATTACTACTAATATTATTAATAGTAATATTATTCTTAAAATGGCTTAATAATTATGCACAGCACTGGCTAGCTTAGAACTTAATATTAAAGAAAAGCTAAATTTATTTCAAGGATATTACTATTTGTTTGTTTCCAGTGGGGTATTCTGTGTATTTTAGGCCAACTCTAGATATTATCTTTTAGATTTTACATTCCAAAAGGATAGGTAAAACTTGTCTATCTAAACTTTCTTTACTCAGATTTTGGCATACATGAGACGCCTGAATCTGCTTGAACACTAAAAATAAGGGCTTAATAATACAGGCTTCTTGATAATTACTCACCTGAAGCTTGGCAGCTCCTCCTTTGATAAGACCACAGATAATTTCTTCTACTCTTGTAGGGTTCTTGATGCGAACTGAACTTTTCTGGAATTCTGGCATCTAAAAACAAAAGGCAATTAATTAACTATTTTAATTTCTCTTTTCCCAGGTTCCTTTGATAGCACACAGAAGCTTATAATATTTAAAGACGTAAAAATGTTGAGGCATTTTTTTGAAAAAGCAAATCACTGTATTAAAATACCATTGATACACACATTTTAAAGCACATCAGTAGTTTCCATCTAGAAGATTAAGACAAAACTGCATTTGTAATATATTACCAGAAAATGTAACTTTTCTAATTATAAAAGTCACGCATGCTTAGCACAGAAACAAGTATGAAAAAGAAAATAAAAATTTCCTGGCATTCTACTACTCAAAGATAAACAAGCAAACATTTTATTTTCCATTATTTCCATTTCTATGATTACAAGTATGCATGAATATGCACATAGTTAATTTCATTACATACTTTTGCATCTGGCTTTTTGAAATTAATATTACTACATATATAGTTATAAAAAACATTTTAACAGAATTCATTAATCGAAATAAAATCCTCGAATTGAAGGGAGAACATTTGAACTTTGTGATGAAGAGTTTTCTTTCTTTCTTCTTCTTCTTTTTTTTTTTTGCTGAGGAAGACTGTTGCTGAGCTAACATCTGTGCCAATCTTCCTCTACTTGGTATGTGAGCTGTTGCCACAGCATGGCCACCACTGAGTGGTGTAGGTCCACACCTGGGAACTGAACACCGGCCACTGAAGCAGAGTGTGCTGAACTGAACCACTAGGACACAGGGCCGGCCCCAAGAGTTTTCTTGTAAGAATCTTTCTGCTTAAGATTTAGCTTGTATTCATATTTCCATTTTAAAAAATTTCTTAGCAGAAAGGAAACAAATATGACATGATTATTCTCCACAAGTTTACCTTTGTATGGATAATTTAAATATATTTAATATATTTCATTTCACAAGTTTCTTAAAGATCTTCGCTCCTTTATTGTACTACATCCCAAATAACTTCATTGTTCTTGGCACAAATTTTACAATGGATTTATTTCAAGTTAAGACAACTACTAGAAAGTATTAGACCACCTGGGCTTAGGCTGTTCCTAGGCTAGTTTAGGCAGGCTTTAGTGGTGCTCAACAATTTAATGTTAAATATAGTTTCTTTTTTCTATCTTGTCACAGACAGGATGAAACTGATCAGAGTAAAAGCATAAGCACAGTGCTCTTCCAGCACAGGCACAAGAAGCCTGGGGAAGTAAGTTATGGATCACTTAATCGTCAGCTCACAGTATAAAAAGACGATAACAGAACCTCAAACCAAGGTTCTATACTGGGTTGTACCCTATAATCTTTATTTATTTTATATGGCATTATTCTGGGTATGTTATCACCAAGATTAACAAATTTCATGTGTGTTATGGACACGGTTATGAAAAATTCCCTAGACGTTACATCTTTGCTGAAAGAGAAACTGACCATGTAAGTCTATCAGGTTCCATGTTGTCTCTACATAATGGACAAAATTAGACAATTGGAAAAAGGCTAAAATGTTTTCCTAAGACTGGAAGATGATTATAGAAGCATACTGGAAAGAGAAATGCTAACATTACAATTTTCTCCATGAATGAAGACTTGGATGTACAATACACTTAATTATAGAAAGCCAAATTTAAAGAGGATAGTATGCAACTAACCTGCACACAGTGACCCTTTTAACTTAACTGGACTTTAAAAGGTTTCAACAGAATAAAGAAGGTTATCTAAATATTTATTTTATAGTGATTTTTCAATAGATGAGAAAAGCAAACAGGCACTTGTTCCTACATTCCTGTTTTTCACTCATTAATCCACTCATTTCTTAACAAAATTCCTACCATGTGTCTACTCTGGTCAGACACCAGATGCAGAGATATGAGGACGAGCAGTACTCACACTGTTTTCCTGATGAGTTTTAGGAACCACTGCTGTCTTGGAGCATCACTTCAGTAGCTCCCTTACAAACACCTTAGCTAGTAAGTTCATCTCCTAACAACTGAACCCTGCTTTTACCTCTGCCTTAACTGGAAGATGCATAGGAATCAGCATTTGATGGATTCAGTAACTAACCCATTATCGAGAGTAACAGAGGATATATGTCACTGGCTAAATTTTCACCAAGGAAATCAAACATTTTATATGAGTGTGTCCTTAGTGAGGAAGATGTTCTGCCTCAAATTAATCACATTCTACAATACATGTGATTTTAAAAAGCCATATTTAAATAGGATAGAATAACCTGTTTCAGGCAATGGAAAGGAGAAGAGCACCAAGGACACTTCAAAGCAGGCTGGTTTGTGCTAGGCTAACAATATTAGAGTGGTTTCCTACATCACTGAGCCATCACAGTGGCTGGAGGCAGTGGTACCCCTGCTTCTGCACAACCGTTCATTTTCAGATAAAAGAGTAGTGAATAACCAAATAGCACCAGAGTGAAAGAACAGTGATGGAAACAGATGAAAGAGCAGCGAATTCCTCCAGAGAACACAACAGGATGGAGGACATAGCTGTAAGAATATAAACATGATAATTATATCTGCCTTGAGTTACATGGTAATACACTACACCCCTTCCACAATACACATACACTGTCACTATAGTATATGATAAATACTTCTCAGGAACATGAGATATTGGGCTTTTTACTCAACTATTTTAAAATGCAGCCTGAGAAATGTAATTTTAAAATACGGTATGAAATGTGTCAAATATCGGAACATTAAGAAGCACACTGCAGGAGTGTGCATTTCATCATACATCACAGACTTTTGTTACCTCCTCAAGTCCCTTCTTCCAATCTCCTCTTGGACAAAAATACACCTGTCTGGCGGCACATAACAATACTTCAAATTTGAAGGGTAAGTTATTCTGAATTGTCCAAAAACTTTTCATTTTGATTATGACACAATTTTATGGAAAATAAACAAAGGACTAAAAATTTCCATCATTTGTGAACAAAGGAAAACAAATTCATCCTATAAGACCATACTGTAAAACGGTGGGGAAGGAGCAAAGTTTTCCTAACGAGAACCAGGGTATTTTGGTTGATCGGAGCCGAATCTGAAGTAACACTAAAGATAACTAAGAAAAACCTAAAATATATTTTATTCTGGCTGATTAATATGCTGTATTTATATAGATGAAATGAACTCTACTTCCATATTCAAAAGGCAGTGATTTCTAAAGAAGTTGATTTCAAAGTTATACAGTTTCATTCACAACTCTAGAGCAGATTAGATTATTTGATATCTTGTGGATACATTGAGACAAGATATAAGTGAGTGGGGCCGGCCCGGTGGCGCAGCGGTTAAGTTTGCACGTTCCGCTTCTCGGCAGCCCAGGGTTCGCTGGTTCGGATCCCGGGTGCGGACATGGCACTGCTTGGCAGCCATGCTGTGGTAGGCGTCCCACGTATAAACTAGAGGAAGATGGGCACGGATGTTAGCTCAGAGCCAGGCTTCCTCAGCAAAAAGAGGAGGACTGGCAGTAGTTAGCTCAGGGCTAATCTTCCTCAAAAAAAAAGATATAAGTGAGTATCTGCATGGTATAGTCAGAAAAGATATAAGTCAAAAAAGATATAAGTGAGTATCTGCATGGTATAGTCAGAAAAGTATCCTAATGGTGTTTACCTGGATTCTTCTGAAAATGGCCCACATAAAAATTAGTTTAAATTACTTAATAATGTCTGTCCGAAGCTCTCAGGGGAAATATTTTTTGTTTTCCAATGTTCATATTTGGTACAAGCAAAAGATTTCATTACATTACATTCATTGATACAAAGGAGTGGGCAATACAATTTTTATTTAACTACATAAAAAGTATAGATTTAAAACCACCTATTCAGACTGGTACATTTACTCACATACATAGATGATCCTATAATTTATTTGGAAGATTAGGCATTACTAAATTTTAGTGATAGCCATTTCCTCCTGCCTACCACATATCTGGCCTGTCTCCACATTAAGGTAATGTAGGCCAAATTCTTTCATTCATTCACCATATGGTCGTTAAGTGTAAGGCACTATGTTAAGCAGCTCTGTAAGGGATACAGAAGTTTTAGTAAGATACACATCTTATACCCGACGCATAGTCTCTAATGTGGATTGTAATACAGGAACCCAAACAACTAATACATTGCCAAGATGTCCGGATAAAATTCAAGAGGAAAAGAAGAAACTGAGATTACTTCTGCTGGGGCCAAAGAAGGAGGAGCCTTCAGTTGAGGTAGGTTTTCAAAGAAAAGCAGGACTTGGATATGCCAAGACTGGGGAGGAGTCAAAGTGCAGGGTCCAACGTGGGAAAAGAACAAAGAGCTCTGTTTGTCTGGAACTTGAGTGTACATGGAGAAGAGTGTGTGTGAAGTCTGGAAGGAGAGATGTGGAGCCAGATCGTGAGACGTTAAGAATAACATCCTATTATAACCAAGGTTATCTCAATCAAAAATAAAAAAGAGTAACATCCTAAGAAGCTGTCAACTTAAAAGATGTATCAACATTTTTAGAAAAGCAAACCCAAGGTATAAATGGTGTAAATTAAAGCAATGATAGTAAAAAATACATTAAGTACGTATCATCTTTTGGCTTGTTGTCTTCCAACAGTCTTTTTGTGGGTTGACTACATTGCTATTTGCTTTTAAAGGAGACACATGTTAGAGGGTTCTGGGACCCAGGTTAACAACAAATTATATGGAAAACATTTCTATCTCACTTAAATTCATTTTGGTAAAAAAAAAATCAACTTAAACAAGAAAATAATTTTAGACTGATTTAATTCTACATATCAGAGATACATGTTCACTACCAATAAATCAAAGGCTAATCATGCAATGGATGTAAAGATCATGTCTAGGATTAGGTTGAATCATCTGAAACTGCCAATATTGGACTATGTTTGACACATAAAGAAACAGCAATTTCATATGCTTCATCCTAATAGCACTAGCCACACTCATGACAGCTTACTCAGCACTTTTGAGTCAGCTTTCAGCTCCCACTATACACTGGATGAGGAAAGTTACAGCTGCACAAGAGATTAATTGTGACACAAGGCTATCTGCATGCTAAGTCATGTTCTATTTTATAGGCTCAAACCAGAAAATGAAAGCTAGAGAGAAAGAGAATGACAAACAGAATGAAAAAATAGAAGGAGGAGGAGAAGCGGCACAATGACAAAAAGAACAGAAAGAGAGAACAAGAAAGAGATCATGGAGCAGTTGTCTTCTTTAAAAGAGAAGGAGAAATTGTGATCTTTAGGATTTTCATTGTGACTATGGAGAATGGATATAATTTTTTCCAACACATATAAATAAATGCTACTTACACAGTTCAAAGACTCACTAACATAATACAGGAGATTAACGTTTACTGAGTGCTTCCTATGTGCTATTAGGCACTTTACATTCTTTTCCATTAAATATGAATAAGAACATTTCAGTTATAAGATGAATAAGGTCTGAGGATCTAACGTATAACATGGTGACTATAGTTTATAACACTATTGTATAACTTAAATTTACTTAAAAAGTAGAACTTAAATGTTCTCAAAGAAAGAAAGGTAAATATGTGAGGTGATGGATGTGTTAATTAGATGGGAGGAATCCTCTCACAATGTATGCATATATCAAATCATCACATCGTACACTTTAAATATCTTACAATTTTATTTGTCAATTATACCTCAATAAGCTGCAAAAAACATAAAAAGAACATGAGGTTGGTGGTTTCATACCCATTTCTTAAAGGTGAGATTTTTGCCCTCATTCAAGGGCATCACAGCTATTAAGGACTGAGTTAAGATCTGAAGCCAGTTCTGACTCCAAGGCCTGCATTTTTCCTGCTTCTTCTAATGTGTATAATGCAATAAACTCTACTGTTGTACAAGAAATTTTTTTTATTTAAATGCTTGTCATTTTAATTCAGAGGCCTGAAAGATAAGATTAAAGAAAACATCTGCTGTATGATTTAAGTGTGTTGTAGCTGTGCAAGGAAAACTTAGCACAGAAAGGAATGGGGTACCATTTTATATGCTGAGAAACAATACAATGCACATTATATTTCAAGCAAAAAAAATTTTCAAAGATAAGTTGAAATTCAATTCAACAAATATTTGAGGTTCTATTGTGTGTCATACACCATGAAGAAAGATCAGCATAAAATTACAGTCCCATAATTAATTATCTGGTTAGAGACAGAGGTAAAAGTGGTGAAGATTCACCATTAATAAATGGAACTGGAAATATTCAGATACCCACCATTTTCACATGTACAGCAGAATCCTGATTAGGTATTTCTTGATTATCCAATCTTCTTGATTTTCCTAGGTGATGTCACAGTAAAAGAGAGAGAAAAAAGTACACGTGACACACATACATTTCAGGCTCTTCCTGTATGTTAATGATCTGCTAAGGTGGTACTTTTGGTTTGATTTAAATACAAAGTTATTGAAGGCATCTTTTTTCTTTCCTAAGAAGCTCAGCAAAGATTTTACTCTATCTCACAAAGTTTTGGGTTAAGAATTTTCTATGGAGGGAGCCGGCCCTGTGGCCAAGTGGTTAAGTTTGTGCGCTCCGCTTTGGAGGCCCAGGGTTTCACCAGTTCGAATCCTGGGCGCAGACATGGCACCCCTCGTCAAGCCATGCTGAGGGAGAATCCCACATGCCACATCTAGAAGGATCCACAACTAAAAATATACAACTATGTACCCAGGGGCTTTGGGGAAAAAAAGGAAAAATAAAATCTTCAAAAAGAAAAGAAAAGAATTTTCTATGGAGAATTTGCAGCTCTCCCATAAGAACTTATATGGTGTTAATAAGATTTGAATAAAGAGTTAAAGTGAAGTATATATTTGCAAGAAAATGCTTTATTGCACGAATATCTTATCACCATTTTCTCTACATGTAACGATAGTTTGTGGGAAAATTATGCATTACTATTACTAAATCCATGAAGAAACATAAATAGAACGTAAGGAGAAACACAATACACAAAAGTCAAATTTATTCTTCAATTTTCTCATTTTAAAATCTTTAATTTTGTGAAATGATGTGATAAGACTGGAGTTGTGTCTGAATCTAGCATAGTGTCTGCCACGAAACAGGGATGCGATAGCGTTTGTTAACTGATTGATCATTTCAAGAGTTTGGGTGAAATTTATACGTATCTACTTGTTAAGCCAAAAGAAGCAGTTTTTAAAATATCTCATCATTATTCTAAATTTCTTTTGCTTTTGCAGTATGAATCTTAGCGAAAATTACTTATTTTTGCTCCTCCTGACTTGACTTTTACTTTATTCTAGGTTAAGTAAAATTTCACTATAATAAAAGCACTATTAAAAAGGACAACTTAGTTTACAGGGAAAAAAATCTGACTTTTTCTTAAACTCTAGTAAGAAAAGTTGGACATCAGATCTCTGTTCTTCATAATTAACTTGTGCTGTAGTAGACCTATAAAATTTTCTCAAATTCGAAAATCCACTTCTTCCTTTCCATTTTAAGTGTATAAAATTGGGAATGTCTTATAAAAAAGTATCCCCTCCACCTCCCAAAGGCTGTTTAGTAAGTTCACGGTCTTATAATTGATGGCATCATAGAGTTAAGTAAACAGTATTTCCAAATACTAAGATACCTCCAATTTTTCACATCTGAAAAATAATGTAGTATCTGCAGAAGCTTCTATCTATCTACACTCTATATAACTTATAAAACATTTGATCACCACCCTCAGAATGTAATTACAATGGTAGTTTGGGGGTTAGTCGTCTTTAGATGATTAGGGTCAATTTAAGTAACCTTTCCTTGGTCTCACTTCCTTCTTTCAGTCATGTACCTTAAAGAAGATGCCACAGAAGCTACCTGCAAGCCTGCTTCTTCACTTATAGAAACCAAAGCATACAATATTAAATGCTTAAAGCTTTTCTTTGATGTTTAACATCTGAAAGGGGGTGTAGATTTCTCGGAAGGCCTATTTAAATAGAACCATTTTATTAGCTTAAAAAAGAGGAAGGAGAATGTGGAAAAGTACAGTAGTGTTCACAAAAATACCACATACTTTGAAACATCTGAAAAACCCAAAGGAAAACAGAATTTAAGCAGTGACGAATACATTTTAATATCCGGGAATCTAAGATCTTTTTGTTACACACAGTCAGGCAGCTCGTTTAGTCTCCACCCCTCACTCCCAAGTATGACTCTTTTTGGAGCATTCATCTTTAGTAGAAAAAGAAAAGAAAGGAAAAAAAACACCAGTGTAAGTAGAGAAAAGAGTAATCATCTTTCTCATGGTCTCTTCATATTTTATTTAAACAAAAAACAAAGAGTGATCAGAAATTTGATAACAGCCAAACTGAGGACATTAGTTTTGATAAGTAAACCTAACAGTTTATGGATACTCTGCAAATTTCAACCGGAGATCTCTCATTCTTCCCAATCTTCACTGGCAACCTGACCAGAATTTATCCTTGTTCAAAGATAAACTCATGTAAAGTGACACTGCAGTCCTAATACAAAAGTCACCCCGGCGTCTCTCACTATAAAAGTGTAAAGACGAAGGCATAAATGTCAGCATTCTGGCACTATTCTAAGGAAGACACTGAAAATTAGGGCAGGGTATTTTTAAACCAATAGGCTTGTAAACCTATACTCGGTATATAAAGTTCTGGCTTACTGTGCCAACAGTCATCTGCTGCAGATGCTCCAGGAGAAGAGTTGTCGGAAAAACACATCAAGTGTAGAAGACACGTTCAAAAATAGAAAATAACTACCCTTGAACTATAAACTCTCTTCAAAGGAAGTTTTCTGAAGTTTCGAGTCTTTGGAATCTTTAAATGTGGACTGGAAAAAGTGGAAACTGGAAAAGAATTACTTTGTGTGCTCTCACTGTGAGGTTAATAAGGTCGCTACTGTAACAGTGTTCATGACAAGGAATATGTAGGACAAGGCTAAAGACTGAAGCAAGAGGTAAGAATTTCACTTGAATAGCAGAAACTTGATAAGTGAGTTTTAGCTATCGTGGTATTTCATTCTGAGATGATTAACTTTATCTTGAAAAGATATTTACAAATCAATGACTGAAAATTTCTGTGTCTACATGAAAAAAATCTACTTGCCTACATTATTAACTTAAAAATTTGTGATTCTGCTTTAATTTTGATACCTGTAGAAACATTTAAATTACACAATAAGGTAATGAAATTTTGAAGGGCAAACTGTATACTGCTTACATAAGAAAAGGCATGTATCCCATAACACAGACAGGGGATCAGCAACAGTGCTAAACATCCATAATGAATCTATTTGTACTGCACTCTTCCAGCAACCTATATTACTTGCCCTAAGTTTAGGTTTTTAATCATGATACTTTCTTAGGGTGATTAGCACATGTAAAAATCAAACTATAAATTCATTATTTCTATAGTATTGCAAATCAGTTTCTTAGGGCATTTAAATAGCGTTCCCTAATTAGATTTTCAAGGCAGGAGTGGAAAAAAAAAAACTAGAAAGTGAAACTTTCTCGATACAGACATAAAGCAAAAATGAAACTGAATAGCTAATGATATGAGGGGGAAAGAAGGTAGAAGAAAATAAAAAATAGATTTCAAAGCCTATTTAAAAACTGGCAATTCACAGCAATTTTATTAAACAGTAAAACTTGGCTTCTCAGTCAGAATTTAATGGATTCTTGTGAAAATACACAATTTCAGAGCTTAGAATTTATTCATTTATCCCTACTCCCAGTGTCCTAATATCTAATAGTGTTTTTCAAGATGAATCAACCAAGGCCCATGGAAATTAAGTAATTTATACTGATTACCCTTAAGGCTCTCTGAATTCTTCTGCCCTTGAATTTGTCCTAGAACAAGACCATAGGTGGTAAGCAATATCCAGAGATGCAGGGCTTGGATATAGGCTGCCAATAAAACCCAAGTAAACTGCTTTAAGAAACGGTTTCCTGCATTCTCTAATTTTCCTGATTAAAAAAAAAAAAACTATAAAAAATAAGGTAAATTTAATTATTTAAATCTAAGTTAGCTGCAACATTCTAGGCTTTTATAGTCACGTATATGTTTGAATCTTAATTTTCAATACACAATTTGTTATAAGCCTTAGAGACAGTAATCCAGCTTTTATCAATTCATAAAACATACCAATATAATCCCATTCCATGATATGCTGGATAAAGCTCACATGCACAAAATAAAAATTAATCATCTTTATTACTAGCCATATATAACAGTTCCTAATCCTAGGGACACAAAGCATGTAGCTATCAGCAAAATCCAGTCACAGAGCAACTGAATGAACAACAAAATTGAATCTTACAGTGTTTTTTCCCCTTAAAAAGAGATTTCTGAGGGTACTCTGCTTTTTCTTAACATCTACAAGTAAAACAAGAAACTCTTAAAATTAGATCTTATAAATTGTAATTTCTGAGACCCAAGGCACTGCAAAGTTTTACATATTCCTATCTTTGCAAACTATAAAGTTTTGCAGTATACTAGATCACTCTATTTTTACTTCCTTAATCTGTATTTTTAAATGCCTAAAATTTCAACAAGATACTGAACCAAATAAGAACCAGATAAAATTAAACAACAGAAACTCATTTATTACATGAACTGTACACACTTACCCCGAAGGTAACCGGACGGGCTACACCAGCGAAAGAAAATTCTTCCTGTCTGAGAAGTACTTATATAGCACAAGGTGCAGCTGAGGGTGGCTGCAGAAGCCTTCGCTGAGCTTTATGCAAAACAGTCTTGTGACGCATTACTACACAGGGCTTTATTATGCTCCGGGTGACAGGCTTGCTAGCTCTGAGTTAGTCACCAGTCAGTCCGACAGAACATGATCAACTGAAATAATGTGACAGTTGAGAGAAGATAAATCTGTGCTATTAGAGCACTGGCAACTTGCTCCTCAATTTTAACACTTAAAAATACTCCCTTCCTCATCACATCTTTTGGTTGTCAGTAATCTTGTGGTAGGTGCACTTTCCTGTATATTCCATTTCAATACAAAGTAAAAAGGATTATGTTGTAGTTGCCAAGGGTTAGGGGAGGGGAGAATGGGGAGCTATTGCTCAACGGGTACAGAGTTTCAATTTGGAAGATGAAAAGAGTTCTGGGGGTAGATGGTGATGACGGTTGCACAACAATGTCAATGTACTTAAGGCCACCGAACTGTACACCTTAAGCAGAGTTAAAATGGTGAATTTTATGTTATGCATATTTTACCACAGTTTAAAAGAGGTTAGCTCATTTAAGACGTGAAAAAGACATGATGCGTGTAAGTAGTTAATAGAATGTTAATAGTCTTTATTGCAGGGCAGGGGAACTTAAAGTGGTTTTTGTTTTTCTTCCTATTTTCCTACACTGTAAATTTTAACAAGACTATGCATAGATTTGCTAGAAAATCTGAACACAAACAATGAAAACTAATTTTTATGGTTAAAAAATTGAACAAAGTTCCTTTCCTGCTGGAAACAACAGCAGTCAACTGTTGTGAAGAAAAATATTTTTAACTTTTAACGAGAACCAATCTTGCTTTTAACCTGAGTAGTAGGATTGCAATATGCTAATACCATGTGTCAGGGCCCGAGAGATAAGTTACGCTCTGGGCTCCGGGAAGCTTTATCACTAGGAACATGGCTAAGCTACACTTATGTAAATAAATTTTTCTATCAGCCTTCTCTCTTTCACGCTCAAGAGAAATCAAACCCACACAACGTTTCAGTGAGCAAACTTTGTGAAGCAGCATTCTCTATTAAAAACAACACAAAAAATTTACAAATTGCTTTTAAAAAAGGCCACTAACAAATTGTCCAAACTTGGTATCTCCCAAATGTTAAAAATTTGGCACTGCTATCTTATTTTAGTAAGATGAGAAGACTCACAAGAAAACATTCCTCTAAGAGGAAAATCTTTTATACCCTAGTAACGGAAGCTCAAGGGTAACGAGGTGATCCACTTTGAAAACACTTCTGTATTACGTATGAGCGTGATGACTTAACGTCCTGTAATATATTAACATATTAGCAATGAGAAGAATTTTAAAGACATCACTCTGAAAGATGACTCAAGATAAATCATCTTCGACAACAGCAACAAAGAATGCTGAAGTTATAGTTCCATAGCCTTTTTGGAGGGCTATTTAGAAATACTATTAAAGCCTTTAGAAACGTACATTTCCTCGGACACACCAATTTTATGTCCTAAGGAATTTATCCTAAGGAAATAAGGCAGTACACAAAGACTTAGTTTCACGGGTATACACTGCAGAGTTGTTTTATAATACTGGGAAACTGGAAACAACTTAAACACCCAATATCTAAGTGTTTATTAATACAGGAGAGGTAAATAAATTGTGGTATATGCATAAAATATAAAATTATACAGTTCTCAGAAATGATCATTATAAATAGCTAAAATTTACTGTATGTTTACTACGTGCTAGATACTTCTAAGCACTTGACACACCTCAACTCATGCAATACTTATAACCCTGGAAAGTATATGCTATTATTATCCTCATTTTACAGGTGAATAAATTAAAGCTTATAACTGGGAAGGAGCAGAAATGAATTCAAACTCAGGTCTCCCTGACTTCAGAATCCACGCCTGTAATTCACTGGGCAGCACTGCTCTGTGAGACCAACATATACAGATATATTGAGGTGTACGTGATCTACTACTGAGCGGGAGAGGCAGGATCATCAGCAGCACAATGACTTCCATCTTTGGACGCAATGACTGGCCCTGTTGCCTTGGAGTTTCCTTACTCGTCATAGAAACAGAAATCACTCCTATCAAACCTAGTGCAGACCCTAGACCTAAAACTGACACGCCAAAGAACAGAGAACTTCTCACACAGGACTCAAATCTTTGGAAGATTCTTCTCTCCTTGTAACATTGAAACTGTCTGTCTTTATCAATGGAGAAGGAACTGTCCATTTGTGCTTCCGAGTAACTAGTTACAACTTTTTAGATACTGTCAATTATTTAATCAACTTGAAAAGCTAAAAATGCTCACTTCATATTCTGCCATCAAAAAGTTTCTCAAATTTTTGAATAATGAAAAAACAAGCCCACAGAAAATCAAGTCTATCATGTTAAACATTAATAATTTATTAATTGATGGACTCACTTTGACTTTAATCTTGGGCCAGGGAAGTAAAGGGAATAAACATATTACACATATTAATAGTCGTATGTGAAAGAAATCACTTCATAATCCCACATAAAACTTGTAGTAGGTATAGTTATTTCTCCACAATCCAATCTAAGACTTAACTACTAATTGGCAGTTTACCATAACCCAATTATCCTTCGTCCCTGGAATGTATTTTTCATCTTCAATCAGAACTTGACTGACACCCTAGGAAGTTATTCCAAACAGAACAATAAAGCCACATAAGGAAGACACTTCAGTAGGAGGTGAGATGCAATACTCTCCATAAGGACTCTTGCAAAACTTGTTCCTGCTAATTGCTGCATGACGTAACTAGAAATATGATTTTTTAAACATGCAAAACATCCACTTAGGTATTTGACTTCACTTAAAACTTCTCTGAAGACAACAGTCAACTGACTTCAACACTGCGACTGTTCAAAACAGAACTGAAACCAGGTGCTATGAATGTTTATATGAATACGGTTTAAATGTTTAAGGAGTGAAACCAGATGAAACAATGAATTATTATATTTTGGAAAAATGAATGACAAGTAAGATTTTCTCATAAGTTTCTTCTCATTTAAAATCATTCCAAAAACTTATCCTATTAGGTGACTATTAGTGAAGTTGATTGCTGCATTTAGGAATTTACACACCATATGCAAACTGAGGAAAAGCTATGGTTCTAATCCCAATGTATTTCTTAAAAACACTATGCAAGACTCTAGGATCGAGTAGCTTAATTTTCAGAAACTCAAATGAAGTTCTTGAACATAGTCTATATCCTTTTTATTTTCTTACTTTTAAATAAATTCTGTATTTTATACTCCTTTAGAGGAAATGACATTTATGTTACAATAGGAAGGTCAAGTTCAAGAAAATTGGATGTTAAGACAGTATCACAAATGAAGGGAGTCTTTGCTAGCTCTCCTCTCAAATGCACTAAGTTCTAACATTTCAAGACCCTTAGCACTGAAACTATTGTTCTATTTTATTATATCTGGAACTCTGTGTCTGCAATGGAACAAGAAGAAAAACTTTGTTTTAATTTTGGACTCCTTCCACATCACACAGTTGGTATTCTGTCTGTTGAAAAGAAACAGTATTGTTTAAGATTGTTATTTTTGTATGGTTACATTAAAAATGATTAAAAGGTATGCTATTTAAGCTTTTATTATTGGTGTATTACATCCAATACGTCTAAATGGAGAGTATAAAGATGGAACTTAGTACCCCCTCTTTTTGCTGTGCCAGAAAACTCATTTAAAGAATAATAAGGTAAGAAAACAATGAAAAAAATTATTTTGAAAGACACTCAAGTTCATAAACTAATAACTTGAAGCAAAGAATTATTTGAAATTATATGGAGCATCACTGGGAGATTAACTTGAGTTTTAGAAGTATACAAGTAGAGGGGCCAGCCCGGTGGTGCAGCGTTAGGTTCGCACGTTCCACTTCAGCAGCCCGGGGTTCGCTGGTTCAGATCCCAGGTGTGGACCTATGCACCGCCTGGCAAGCCATCCTGTGCCAGCATCCCACATACAAAGTGGAGGAAGATGGGCACGGATGTTAGCTCAGGGCCAGCTTTCCTCAGCAAAAAAGAAAAGAGGATTGGCAGCAGATGTTAGCTCAGGGCTAATCTTCCTCAAAAAAAAAAAAAAACAAATAAATAAAAGTATAGAAGTAGAAGAAGTCACAAAACATAGCCCTTTTTAAAAAAACTACTTTGAATATTAATAAACTCAACATAGCAAATGAAAGCACTTAATCTAACCTTAGAAAAGTTTTGATAACATATATTACATTCAACAATGGAATGTATGCTCATCAGCACAGAACTTATAAAAATAAGTTTATCAGAGAATGGCCTTTAAAAAGCCTTATGGTGAGGTTTTATACTGGTGAGATCTTTAAAACTTTTAAAGAACAGATAGCTCCCATGCTAAACTGTTTAACACCACATAAAAAGAAGTTAAGGTATCCAGTTCCATTTACGAAACCAACTAGTATAAAAACCCGGAAATAAAAGCCTGCCAATAATGGCACAAAAAGAGGAAACACACCTATTTTCACTTATGAATATAGATACAAACCCCCTAAATAATAAACTAGTATTAAACTAAATTCAATAGAACAATAATCATCTAACATGACTGAATCAAATATATTCCAAAAATCAATTAACAGTCACCACAGAGGAATGACAGGATCACAGGTGATTGTATTTTTTCTCCATTCTCTTTGGTATTTTCTATATTTCTATATATTTGATATTTTCTATTCCATGAATATATCTTATTCCGAGAAGAAAACAGATTTTTTTTTTTTTGAGGAAGATTAGCCCTGAGCTAACATATGCCGCCAATCATCCTCTTTTTTTGCTGAGGAAGACTGGCCCTGAGCTAACATCTGTGCCCATCTTCCTCTATTTTATGTGGGATGCCTGCCACAGCATGGCTTGCCAAGCAGTGCCATGTCCACACCCAGGATCTGAACTGGCAAACCAAACCCTGGGCCACCAAAGCAGAACGTGCACACTTAACCACTGAACCACTGGGCCGGCCCCGAAAACAGATTATTTTTTAAAAGTCACATATTACAAAATATAAGAAAGTGAAAGTGTATGTATTCTACTACACCTTCAGAAGAAATGAACATGTCATAGGTTAACTCATGTTTATGAAAGTAAAATGAAAATTACCTATTAGGGCAAAATCAAACTTTGCTGTTTTTTCTGTAGTCGTCTCCCTCATCTTATGGCTGGGAGGGTAAACTAATGAGAAAGTTACACAAATTATTGAAACAACATGCTATCTTTTCCTCCTACTCTGGCTATAAAATGAAGTCATAATGTGTAGATGAGGAGTCGAGCAAATTACGCTCAGTAAAACATTCTGAAGAATTAGTACATTGGTTTAAAGAAGCCATTTAAAGCTTTGGAAAAGAAGGTCATATTTAAATTGCTCAAAAATGGAAGCGAAACAAAAAAAATTGGAAAAATATATTTCTAACATACTCTCATGTTTAAAATTATTTTACAAAAGCCCTTCCAAATCAAAAAAAAGAACTCAGATGATTCAGAAAAGAAGAAAATAAATGGCTAATTATTTTTAAAAGTTCAACTTCAAAAGTAATAGAAATATATATTTTTTAAAACTATCATTTGGCAAAGATAAGAAAAAAATGATACCTACTCCCAGGAAAACAAGGAGCTAGGTACTCAAATACACTGCTGGTGGAAACGTAAACTGGCATCAGCTTTCCAGAGGGTAACCTGGCAGCACATTCAAAAGCCTTAGATCTGGGCATGTCCTTTGACCCAGCAATTCCATTTAAGCAAACAATCATGGACACGCACATGCTACAAGAATGTTCACCGATCCATTATTTATCATAATGAAAAAGGAGAAACAATCTAAAGTTCAACAACAAAGAACTTGCTAAAAGATTATATCTGCATATGATATAACAAAATAATATAATATAGTCATCAAAATAAGCACACATTTATTATTAAGGAATAAGTTAATACGTGAATGATCTTGTTAAAAGCAATGTTACAGTATGATATCATTTTGGGAAAAATGATAGTTACTAGTTATATGCATAGAAAAGGAAAGGAGTATACTTACTAAGAGATGGGGTTTTTTAGGTGGTAAAAATTGCAGATTACTTCTTTTAGCTTATCTAGATTTACTAATTTTTATATCACATGTATAATATCAGAAATTAAAAGAGAATCAAGGAGAAAATGAAGCTTTAAATAGGTAACTAATGAAAAATAGAGAAATTCCTTACAAAAAGATGGATCTTGATTCAGGTACTCATGAGTCCTTAATTATTAAAACTTCCCTAAAGCTGAGTCACATGACTGGAAATCCACACGTATGGACCCCATGAGGTAATTTTTAAAAATCTGTGGTGAATCACATGATCTGTGCATGTTGTAAGCATATTAGAGGGGCTTCAAAAGTCAGTCAAACACACCTAGAAGCTTTATCCTTTACAATAACCCATGTTTCTCGTCAAATTTTAGTGAAATTAAATTTGAGTGACTGAAAACGATGTAATTATATCTGCCAAGCCTCCCAGTGTGCTCCCGGGTCAGTCTAACCAGCCACAGTTACGCTGGCAGGCAGGCGGCTCAGGCTCTGTTTTCTAGAGTATGCTCAGGTTAAAAACTGTTCCTCAAAATCTGGCATACTGCCGGACATCTCCCTATTCCCAATCTTCTTAACTTGAAGAAAGATGTATGATATAACTAGACATTCCGCTTTTATCTCCAAATCTGAGAACTCAAATAGAATACGGTTTTGAGATCATTTTTAAATGCATTACTTAATATGAACCTACTATAAAAGAACATCATGCCTAAAAGAAAGCTGGGAAAAGAACAGCTGTGTTTCTTAACAGAAGGGAGAAGATAAGAGAATGAACATTTATTGAATAACTACTATGCTGTGAACATAGTTTGGCACTGTTATGTATATCACCTCTTTTTTAATCTTAATAACTAACCAGGCAGACAGTATTTAGAATAATATACTGTTGGAATTCTCTCAAACTAATTATTTAAAACACAAAGTGAAATAAAAAGTACAAAGACAGAACATATTCTTAATGTAATACCCTGAAGGAAGCAAGGGGGCAGAAGAGTTTTTAGGTAAATCTACATGCTAGAAAACTGGAAATTGAGGCTTAAACAAGTGAAGTAACTTGCGGCAGTGCTGAGATTTGAACCAAGGACTTACTAACTGCTAAACTCTCAAACGCTATGTATTACATGACCTCATTCACTGACAAGATTGTCTAGTGTTCAAATCACAGATTACATAATTTGTTAAAGGAAGAAAATACTGCATATCTTTACTAGATAAGCCACAACACTTAGAATACACGGAGAACAATAGAATAATAATTATGGAACACTAGCTAGATTTTCTTATCCTACCAAAACTAGGAACACATGATAAAATCATATATATATAAATATATATATATAGTACACAGTTGTGCACAAAAGACAAAATAGCATAAAGTATTTAATTAGCTTGGAAAGATAAAATTTTTAAAGACCAGCAACACAATAATACCATACTAAAGCAGTAATTCTCATTCGCAACTGGAAGCACGCTTTACTCAAAAGCTTCAGAGAGAGCTAGAATCAGATTGAATGCTGGCTCTGCTACTTACTAGCTAGTTCCTAAGCAAATTAATAAAAAATTACGACCACAGTTACCAGCTGGACTGTGTTTTAAGGATTAAATAAGGTAAACATGCAGGATGTACGTGGCCATTAAGTACACATCTCAAAATGTTAGTTCCTTTTCCCTGGTTACAGGCTAACAGGACAGTGCCAAATTAACCCAAATGGGAATCCACTTCTAAGTGTTTTCTAGTTCAGGCCCAGTGTAGTTCTTAAGGTAACTTCAGTGGGTTTCTATTTTGTAACATTTCGCTATGCTATAACACTGAGGTTCTCAAATTTTTCCTGTCTCCCTCCATCAAAATCTATACAGTGTCTCATTCCCTTAGACTGCTAACGGGTGTGACAGAGAAATCTAGATAAACTGACAAACTGTTCATGGGGAAGACTGTATATGAATATGATGATTTCTTTTGATGATGGTATTCTGAACGCCGAGCCTGAGTGGGATGTTTAAGGTAAGGTAAATGAAAGGGCTGTGCCATGACAAGGCTTCAGAGGAGATAAAATAGGGACAGGAAGGATCTTGCAGGAACCCACATCATGTTAGTCATGTGACTCTCTACTTCCACCTACTGACAAGCAGGAACTTGCCAAACAAATTAAGCAACTCTCCGATCACCTGCTAAATAATTTTGTAACCTATTAGCAACTTAAAAATGAGGAAGATAAACATACATGGAAGAAACAGACAAACAGCATTTACATCTACATATGATGACAGAACACTGTTATACTTGGTTTAAATTTTATAGATTAATAGCTTGTAGGGGAGGAAAAATAATTTTCCCTCTACCCTCCTAGGTTCTTGGCTGAGACGCCCCTGTACTAAAAAGACAGGTTAATAGGAAAAAAGAAAAACAAAAACAAATTTAATTTTGTACCTGTGGGGACCCCACAAAGACATGAGACCCAAAGACAGCCAGGCAATTGAGACTAACATCCCGAGCTAAGGAGAAAAGAGGTAGGCATCCTGGGCTTCAGAGGAGAGGAAGGCAATTCACAGGAAGATGTGGAGCAAATGCTTGGTAAACAAACTTTTGCCCTGACATGCTGGCAAGTCTCTCAGATGAAAAAGTTATCTCTGGTAATAGCTCTTTTCCTGGTACAGGAACTCCTTCTAAATTCTTTCAGGCGGTTCCGGTGGAGGTAAAAAGCTTTTCCTGAGTCTGTGGGGTCTTGATTGCCTTTAGCTCCCAATAATCCATATGCCCATTTTAGGGTGGCATATTCTGCTTCCCTTCAAGTTTAAGTAACACTGGGAGAGTAAACAAGAAAGGTAATTTAGAAATGACCCACTGGGCCATAACAGAGAGAGAGAAGTCTGCCACCTGCTGACAGAAAAATGGAATTGTGTACATTTCCCCCATTGCTGTTTTTAGAGGGCAAAACCTATCAGGTAAGGTTTATGACATTAGATTTCAAATAAGTTGTTATACTGAAGGTATAAAATGGCAACTTCTCATTTAAAAGAGAATAAGGATTAAATTAGGATTTAAGATTCTTTATATGCTTCTTAAGGTCAATAACTCTAAGTAATGTGATACCTGAATTATTTAAAAAACAAACAAAAGAGGAATATATGGAAATGATTTACCATAAACTATAGGGAACATTCAAACTGCTATAAAATTATTTTTTAATTTTAAAAAATGTTTCTTAAGAAAAATCAGTACAGGAGGCCAGCCCGGTGGCGCAGTGGTTAAGTTCGCACGTTCTGCTTTGCTGGCCTGGCGTTCGTCAGTTCAGTCCCGGGTGCGGCCATGGCACCGCCTGGCAAGCCATCCTGTGGCAGGTGTCCTACATATAAAAGAAAGTAGAGGGGCCGGCCCCGCGGCCGAGTGGTTGAGTTTGCGTGCTTTGCTTTGGCAGCCCAGGGTTTCGCCAGTTCGAATCCTGGGCGTGGACATGGCACCGCTCATCAAGCCATGCTGAGGCGACATCCCAGATGCCACAACTAGAAGGACCCACAACTAAAAATACACAGCTATGTACTGGGGGTCTTTGGGAGAAAAAGGAAAAATAAAATCTGTAAAAAAAAAAAAAAAGTAGAGGAAGATGGGCACGGATGTTAGCTCTGGGCCAGTCTTTCTCAGCAAAAAGAGGAGGATTGAGGGCAGATGTTAGCTCAGGGCTAATCTTCCTCAAAAAAAAAAAAAAAGAAAGAAAGAAAAATCAGCCCAAAATAATCCTTATGCCAAAAGAGGCACATTTTGAGGTTACAAATTCTGCTCCCCTTCAAATCCTATAGATTTCACCTCTGCAATCTGTCAATTTTCTGTCCTCTTCTGTCTACTGCTCCCATGGCAGTCTAGGACATCATTTTCTTTAACCCAGGCTTATTTTAATTGCTGCTCCTCGAGGGTGGCAGAATATGCCACCTCAACATATGCTTCTTTGGCATACGGATTCTTTAATTCTTTGATTATTTCAGACAAAGAGGAGACACAGGAGATGCACCAAAAACAGAGCAGAAGTTACCCTTTTGTAAGGGAAATTTACATTTATAAAGGAAATTACCATCCATAAGTGTGTCTCCTTCTCTGTAGCAGGAAGAGAAGGACGACTAAAGCACAAGAAGCTCCTATCAAAGGGCATGCATTTAAAGCTGCCTATCAGGCGGGCCGGCCCGTGGTCAAGTGGTTAAAGTTCTGTGTGCTCTGCTTAGGCAGCCTGGCTTCGTGGGCTCAGATCCCCGCAGGGACCTGCTCCACTCATCAGCCATGCTGTGAAGGCCTTCCACACACAAGACAGAGGAAGACTCGCACAGCTGTTAGCTCAGGGTCAATCTTCCTCACCAAAAAATAAACAAATAAATCTGCCTACCAACCCTTACTCATGTTTATCCTACTTTTCCTCCTCCCCACCCCATAACAGGCCTCCCCATACCCTTCTCTCTTTTTGTCTTTAGCTGTAGATGGTATAATTCTAAGCCACCTAGGAAAGTTACTCATTTCCCCCGGGTATCTCCCATGTATACTTGTTAATAAACTTGTGTTTGTTTTTCTCTTGTTAGTCTGTTTTTTGTTACAGGGTCCCCAGTGGAGAACTTAGAAAGGCAGAGGGAAAATTAATTTTTTCTCCCCTCCACTCCTCATCTCCTCATTCTAGTTATGCTAACTTAGTGTACTTCAGCTACCAGATGACTTACACTAAAATGCATTCCAGATCTTTTTATTAAAAAAAAAACCACACTCTCAGATAAAAACTAGACTACTGGTGCTGAAAAAAAAATAATAAAAGAAATAAATTACACACTCAAAGGCTCTTTAGCAAATTAATTACAAACGCCTTACTGCTGATAATAAAGATGTTTCTACAATGTGGCCCCAAAACACTTTTAAAAATGTTGTTGCTTTTAATTAACCAGTTTTTAAAAATATATAAAATACACGCTCACGTTATTTCAAACAGTGTGAAACGGTAAAGGATGGAAATGCTGAAATCTCCCTCCCCAGTGCCATCCTCCCAAGTCCCACCGTCACCAGTAACAACTATAAATAGCTTGTAGGGTCGTTTTTCAAGACTTTCCAATGACACACAAGCATATCCATGTGTATCTCTTTTGGAACCACAACTGTTCTACAACTTGCTTTTTTTCCTAGTTACCATTTTTTGAACTTTTTAAAAATATTAACTCATTCAGATCTACTTTTGTCTGTTTGTTTTTGTTTTTATCTCTTGTGTGTGTGTGTGTGAGGAAGACTGGCCCTGAGCTAACATCTGTTGCTAATCCTCCTATTTTCGCTTGAGGAAGATTTGTCACTGAGCTAACATCTCTGCCAATCTTCCTCTACTTCATGTGGGACACCACCACAGTGTGGCTTGAGGAGTGGTGCTAGGTCCATGCCCAGGATCCGAACCTGTGAACCCGGAGCCACCAAAGTGGAACATGCGAACTTAACTGCTACACCACCAGGCTGGACCTATTTTCATTTATTAAAGCTGCACAATATTATACAAATGCACTGTAATTTAACCATGCACTATAATTTATTTAACCAATGTGTACTGCCTCCAACAGAGTAAATGAAAGTGACCATTTTTATATATCCTCATCACTTTGCTTTCTCTCTTCACACAGTAATTGTTTGGCAGCCCCAATTTTGACTATGTGTGAGCAATTAACCTAGAAGTTTTGAGACTTGTAAAATGTGTAATTTTTTTGGGTGCAAGAATTAAAACTGTCTACTTCAATGGTTCTCAAACTTTAGCATGCGTCAGAATCATCTGAAGGGCTTGCTAAATGAAGAAAGTAAAAGTATCTAAGGATATGATGGCTTTTAGCCAGAAAAGAGAATCCTTGGGTAAATTAAAAATATTAGTATCTGGTTTAAGGGTGGCTCCATCTGTTACATAAATGAATTTACAACAAAAGGATTAAGAAAAAAAATAGTTTGTAAAACTAAAACTGTTTCGGGAAGTATTCTAGCTAACATAAAAATGGTTCACTAGATAAAAGATCAAACTTCACTGAAGCTGAAAATGTGGTTAAACTTGTTACAAAAGGATAACACACAGGAAACATGACAAATGTGATTTGAAAGGACAAAGTCATATGCCTGGTACAAACATTTCCATATTCGCAAATTTGAGGATTCGAAATGATCTTATATATTCTTTGTCAATGTTAAGAATTTCATCGGGGCTGGCCCCGTGGCCAATGGGTTAAGTTCGTGTGCTCTGCTTCGGGGGCCCAGGGTTTCGCAGGTTCGGATCCTGGGTGGCAGACCTAGCGCAGCTCATCAAGCTACTGAGGGGCTTTGGAGAGAAGAGGTAAAAATAAATAAATAAATAAATAAATAATAAATTAAATTAAATCTTCAAAAAAAAAGAGTTTAATGTTTCCCTTATTTTACAATATATTTTATTCAAATTGGACGAATCAGGATTGTTACCCCTCAAATGCGACCACATCCATCACATATTACCCAATATAATCTCCTATTCCGTTGAACTCCACCTAGCCTTTTGTTATCTTTCTGACAACATTTATAGTCATTCATTCAGGAAGTACTGTTAGGACTCTAGCTTTTAAGCTAGTTGTGACACATAACTGAGAAACTAGCTTCTAAATCTCATTAGCATGTACGAAGGTAGTGGCCATGTCTCAAGAACTATTTAAGGTCTAGACATTTCATGTGTAAATGAATAAATCGTTAGGCTTGGGGCAGACAGAGGATCAAAGCTATTCTGAGTTTGTATTCTTTGCTGCTGTCTGACCCAGTACTTGGAATAGCTGAAATGCTCTATTTTTCTACCAGCCAACTGACCACCAGTAATATTAGATTATATATATGTGTTTTCATTTGATCAAATATTAAATCAATATTTACTGAATGGCAAATGATATGGAAACAAAATAGGCACTATGGTGTAGCACGGCAGACTGCTAATTACCTAACTGAAACACATCCTTCCCTTCTTTCTTACTAACAGAATCTCAATTTTGTTGGAGGGTGGCAATTTGCTCAACCAAAAAGAAATTCCTCAGCTTCATTTACAGTTAGGGCGGCCATATGACACTGTTGTCTCCAATGACATGTAAGGGGAAAGTTCTGCTTTAGTGAAATAAACATCCTTCTCCCAGCTTCCTCTTTCTGTTGCCTGGGAGATGGACCTGTTGGCCAGGACTGCAACGGCCATCTCGTGACTGTGAGAAAAGCCAAGGAAATTTCCAAGACCTCTGTCTTGATGTCTTTGTACCTCTTAATAACAACCAGCAACTGGGGCCGGCCCAGTGGCACAGCGGTTAAGTTCACACGTTCTGCTTCGGCGGCCCGGGGTTCACCAGTTGGGATCCCGGGTGTGGACATGGCACCGATTGGCAAGCCATGCTGTGGTAGGCATCCCACATATAAAGTAGAGGAAGATGGGCATGGATGTTAGCTCAGGGCCAGTCTTCCTCAAAAAACAAACAAACCAACCCCAGCAACTGCCTACTTTCTGGACTTCTCATTACATTAGAAAAATAAAATCTGTATTGTTTATTAAAGCTACTGATTTTGGATCTCTGATCTCTGTTTCCCTTAGTCAAGTGCAATCAATCAAAAAGGAAGACAAAGAAATATGTACCAATCCAGATCTGTGAACACACACAACAGTAGACACCCTAAGACAGTGTAACTGCTAAATTATGAGAAATCGTGAGGAAATGCCACAGGAGTTCAGAGAACATGCTTCACAAAACAAATCAAGAATTCAAAACAGGTCCTAAAAGGTCATAAATCTGAGTACTGATATAAATTAGATCAAAGTTGAGATATAGAGACATATTGAAAGCCTACGTGATAGTGTTGATCCACTAAGGCAGTTGTTTAAATCTTGGTTTCCCCCCTCCCTTTAAATACAGACTCAACGGCCGGGCTTTGTGCTCAC